GGATAATGAGAAAACCAATGAGTTTTAAACCTTGACAACAATAAAAGACACAAAAATAGTAGGACCAGCTTAACTCTAACTGATATACCAGTTTTGCGACCCTCATTGTAAAACTTTTTAATTTTCTAAACTTGGACTAACAACTTTTCAGGGTATTATTTTTCTACACCTCGAGATTCACAAAATATAAAAATCTAAGGCATCATTACAAACAGAAAAGCCTGAGGACGTCTGTAATCCAAGAATTCCATTTGTCAAGCTAACTACAGATTATGTTAAATTAGAAATCGGTTAAAACTAATAAAAAGTTTACAACTGTTAAATAAACGCTACTCAGTGTCTTTCCATATTATACCCGAATACAATGAGGTCAGTTATCTTCAATTTTTTCAGTAAAAGAATTACCAGCCTTAGTCTAAGGTATTTAACCTTATGACTTAGTGTGGTGTGGGTTACTGATATCCACATAAGTAGTATACAACGATGGCCGTGCATTGAATGTATTTCAGTGGGAGATCGATGACGAGAGAACGAGAACGGCACGCAACTGGTACGAAAATGCATAAACAATTATAATCGGAGACTATGGACGGATATTTGCAGAAGAAACAATCAGATTGAAACAATTGATTGTTAATTTGCAAATTAACTGTTCACTATATGGTTCTCACATTTTAATGAGATATTCTATAATGTTGTGCTGAATTACATTCGATTGTTTCCACCTGTGTTCTTGTTCACTACAGTAGAAGTGAATTTCACTACATATAAATGTACAACATATATATTAGACTAGTGTTGCCTTATCATTTTTCCCCAAATCCTTTACAATTTTCTAGTCTCACTAAGCATTGTTAGTTAATAAATAAAAAAACTATTATATAGCTATTCATCAGTTAAACATAATTTTGTACATTCATAGATGATAAAATGAAATAAATCCGATGTCATAATTTGAATCTTATCACATCATTTTATGAATTTATTTAAACTTAACGGCTGATAATTTATGTCACTTTCAACTAAGAAACGAATTTTTAGTTTGCTTCAATTCACGCTGTAGTGAACAGAGCACGACTGGGGACAATCGAATGTATTTAAGCAAGAATTACAGACTATCTCACTAAATTCTGAAAACCAAACAATGAATAGTCAATTTGCAAATTAACAACCAATCGTTTCATTCTTCACTGTTTCTTCTCTAATTCCATTGCTCATGCATTTTCCAAATGATTGCGCTTCATTTCAGTTCTTTGCTAATCGGTCTTCTGCCAAAATACATTCTATGTCTGACCAACACCATATACTACTTATATGGATATAAGTAGACCACACCACAACGTCATATATATAAAATATGTATAACACTCTAATAGGGTTAGATTGCTAACAACATACTCCTGAGGAACTGAATATCAGGCAAGTAAATCATTTTAAAATAAGTATTATAATTATTTACTGGTCAATCACTTATTACTAGCATCAGTAGGTAATGAAAAAATACGAGTCTCCATAAAGCCACCTACTTGAGGAAGAATTCTAGCTAAAAGCGATTTCCGATGGCGTCAAACTGGTCAGTAATCAAACAAATAATTTTATTTGATGTTCACTAAACATTTGTTTGTACCACTAAACGAAATTCAATTCTGTCATCTCAGCAACATTGTATGCGTTAACAAACCTAATGAATCTAGTTTTCATTGTATGTATAATGAATTTATAATCACACCACTTATTACCTATGTTTGAAAAGAAACGAAGTACCGCTGCAATTCCCACGACATAAATTAAAAACATCAAGACTGGTACAAATAAAGATTTATAAGCTCCAAAAACACAAAGACAACCTTAGTCTGGAAATACACTCATTTATGTATTGATTATACTTCCATTTTGTTTATTAACTAAAATAAAATCATTTGCATGAATAATGCCTAAAGTAATAAATCAAAAATCAGCAGCGTGCACGAATATCTGATCTACCTGTTCCTCTCATCTAGATATTTCAATGAGTTATATGTGTTACTATTTTGTTTTAACACTCCATGATGTTTATTAGTCACAAAACCTATTCAGGCGCGTTCGCGAAAGATTTACGACCTTTCATTGTACAAGTTACAAAAAAGTACAATCATAGACATCATGGTAGCTGGGATATCTATTGAAAAGAACGAACGCTATTCAGATGTCGATTCACGAAACTTCTAACATCTAACTGGCGACCACTTAATATTTATCTTCAGGGTCGATCAAGAAGTAAGAAAAGGAAACTTGTCGTAACACTTTATGCTGAGAATTCTATACTGTACCAAAAATATAATACTGAATAAAGCCATCAATAATAATTAAATAATAATATCATACCAAGCATAGCTCACGTTAATTTGATACAAGAATATCGTATCATGAATAAATCAAATGTTATACTAGAAAACAATATAAATGCTACACCGAATAATCACAAAACACAAAAAGATAAATTTGATTTTGTCTTTTTATGCTGTTAAGTCAAAAAGTCTGTATTACTAAGGCGTAATTAACTGATACTTTCCAGCTAGTAACAATTCAGTATTCTCAGTCGGTCACAACGTAGAACGTCGTACGTAAGTACATCAGTTCAAGTTGCCATACCACATTAACACAAAGATGAAGTTGTCAATTCGAATCCTATAGTGGTAGAAGCAGTAATCCGAAAGATTAGGGTTTGAAGATGTTATTCAACGAGTATATTCCAGCGAAATAAATTTGGAAAGAGAAAAAAATAGAGGCATGAAGAATTCAGAAGATTAGAATTTGGCAAAACACAAAAAGTGGATGCACCTTTGCCATTGCAAACGATTTTGGGCCATGTGACTCAAGGTCTCTAACCATCGATTGCTATTATCTTGCGGATAGATTCAGTATTGAATGTTAGTTAAATCCCTAAATAGTAGTTTCCTGTTTTAACTTATATGAATAATAATTTCTACTGACTAGTACGACTAGATTTTTTTACTAAGACTAAAATACTCTAATAAAAAAAGAATGGGTGAATGAATAACATCATGATTTATATATGTAAACTCTTCAATAATGGAAACCAATAACTCATTCATTTCTAATTAACTTTTTTTTAATATTGGACTAACATATTGATAAACATATAAAATGTATAATTGTGTCAAATAACTCTAGTCTTAAAAACCCCAAACATTAACTGATTACTTTGAAATCACGAGTCAATTGAATCTAAACCACCATTGAAAACCTGAAAGCAATGAATAGTCCATTTGTCCTATTATGAGACTCCTCAGCAGTGCGCATCCATGATTCCGTATCGCGTGATTCTAAATGGCCGTCCAGTGCTTCCAGGTTTTTCATGGTAGTCTAGCTTCAATTGACTCATGATTTCAACTATAAAATTTCTGAAATCTCCACGAAACCCCTTTCGGATAATGATTACTTTGAATCATTATTATCTACTGATTCATTTCAACATCAAAAAATCTCTATCATAAGAAAATGTCAACATATTATTTAACGTTTTATTTTTTCTAGTCATCTTCAGAGTTTCATAATCATGACCAAACAAAAGAGATAATTTAATGACAATCATATTCAGACAGAAACTTAGTTGTTTACTTTTTTTCTCACCATACCGACAGAAAAAATATACTTTGATCTCTTTCTCTAATAAAACTTAATATGGAATTGGAACAGTAACAAATGTCATATGTCTCAAACGTTCTAGACATGTAGCTTAAAACTTCTAACCAATTTTAAATTTAAGAAAAAAATTAGCGATAATTCAAAATAAATATACTTTCATTCATTAAAAGATGGGATGTATCTTAGCTTTGGAAAAAAAAATTGTTACATTTTCATGACATCTATCTAGTTACCTGTACATTGTTTTATGTTAAGACGTTTCACTATCAGGTGATTAAATGTAAACAGAATAATATAAGCAATGAAATTTGTCATGACAACAACTCAATCTTTTTTAAAACTTGTAACATACTAAGTTACATGTCAGCCTTATTATCTGAACAGCCTTAATTCTCAAAATGAATTAATGACAAGGCTTAGTTTTCAATAGAGATAAATCAGAGTAGTGAATTTTAATAAGTGTAAATAATCAACAATAATTTGTTTTGTAGTGAATAAGAACTCAAGTGAGTGTAACCAATTTATTGTTTAATACAAAATTACAGAATATTTTAATAAAACGTAAAACCTTTAATTATCTTTTACATTCTTCATCATTCTTCCATTTCACAATTCCCTCCTATTTCCCTTCGTGTTTACTTCAACTCGGTTTTCTTGGCCTTCTGCTGCCAGGTATTCCACTTCTAATTGGTGTTACAAACTACTTATATCTGTCGATATAAGTATCATACACCACAGCTTTATATAAAATTGTTGAACATGACTATTAACAAAGAATCCTGTTTAGCGTTTTATGCCTTGTGATAGATAAAGTGTTAAAAAAATTAGGTATAAAAACAATATAGAGTAATCAATGATTAATTTTATCTGATTTTCTTTAATTTCGATAGAAATATAAAATCAGACGAGAACTGTTTTTTTTAGTTTGGTTAAATTACTCATGTTTTCATAGGAGGAATAATTATACTTGATTACGATCTCTATACCACACTGTTACCATATAAACGATTCTCGTTAATTGTGTAACTGGAATTCAGTAGTGTAAACGCTCAGCGTTTTACTTCAATAAAGTTATGCTAATTAAACAAAATTCCTTAATCAACATAGTTCTTCTTAACGTGTTTAATATAAAATTTTAAACATCAATAAATTAGTTATATTATTGATGATATATTTAATTGGATAAATAAACGATGAACTTATAACTTTGGTTTAAACAAATGAAATAAAAAACGATTGATGCGATAACATTAACAAATATTGCAAATGCTTTAATATCCACTATTAAATATCGTCTAGGTCACTATGAAAACATATATGCACTGGTATAATATTTAGATAAAATATCGTACCATACTTCATAGATATCCTTGATTACATGGTTTAATTCCAAATGTGTCACTCCATTTGGTATCTTTCAACAGTGAAAAATAAATATGCAAGACAGATCTCAAGTTCTTTCGATTATGGATTTGTTAGATTTCATCGTAGAACTATTGGTCTGCCAATCTTGAGATAACGTTGAAATAAACTCTTTTGCTATTCTGGTTTACAATTTGATCATTTATTTTTGATAATTTTTCACGTGAAATGTATTTCAGGAAAAAAAAAGTCATCTAATTGAGAGTCTTGTTGTCTACAGGCAGTTCATAACATTAAATGATTTCAGTATTCCACTAATTTTCCATGTTGATCTCAGTTCCATTAAACTTGATGTAATAACTACATATATTTTTATATCTAACTAAATGATCATCATGAAATAAAGAACTTTCCTCTCAGTATGATTCAATTTATTCAATGTACAAACAAAGTTAAGTGAAATTCATTAGATAATCAGAGCAGAAATCAACTAATGTAACGTTTGATCAATTACACAAAACGTATTTCATTTAACGTAGTTTTATAATTATATAACTGAGTGAACAAACTAACACATCTTGAAACACTACCAAATGATTCACTTACTTTTGCGTACATTGTATTACATCGATAGTTATTAATTTTAAAACAGATAAACTTGTTGTCTATATAGCATTTTCTGATCAGAATAAGTATTAAATTCATGTGGTATTGTTTCTTCAAATCTTTCCATTAATATTTAGGACTGCAATTGATCAGTCTCTTATTAGCATATGTGTTTTGTTTGCGGACTGCCTCAATACTGCCTTAAGTCACAAACATTATAAACTTTATAAACTGACAAGTCCTGAATAGGACGAAACGCACGTCCTGGATTCCACTGTTAGTCATTATCCATCTTTGCTTAGATTCACTATTAGTTTATCGGATACTTAAATACCAGTTATAGGTACCGAAAAGAAATATCTGTTTTATGATGAATAATTTAAATAAATTATAAATTTAGTTAGGAATCATCTTATTGACGTAATCTCTTCAATACTAGATTTCATAATAAACAGTTTCTTTTTTCTTGTGCAAAACTTTTGCGAATTAATGATATTAAGAAGCTCTTTTTTTCAAATAAACATCATTTTACTAATATCTAGTGCCTTTTAAATGACTCTTATAATGTCTATATTAAATTGTATATAAATATGTATTTTCCATTTACAAATGTCATGGTCAAAATATTGACCAATCAACGCAACCTGTCAATAAACAATTTCATTAATCACTAAGTATATTCTTCTGTTGAACACTAGCATAAGAAAAGTAAGTAAAATATATGATCAGATATTTTTCTATCACCTATCTATCGAGTACATTAAGAAAAAAACAAGTTATTGAGTATCAATAATCTACAAGAGATTTAGTCTCCTCTCGAAATGAACAGTTTAATTATTATTGTTCAAATGATGGGAGAGAATCCCATCCTCGTGGCCAGTTGTTATATCGTGTGCGTGCGTGCCATGTTTAATATATGACGTGATGATTCCTGCGAATTAGAGATCAGTGAATTATCGGTAAGATCAATGTCACACTGAACCTGTACGAAGCAGTCTAGAGTTCTTGTCGGTCCTGCTTTCTGCTCAGCCCAGCCAGTCAAGTTCAGAACATCAATAACAGCCTCTGCAATCTGAATCACTATATTTCAAACACACTGAGTTTATATACCAATCAAACTGACCACGTCGTACCATAAAATAGAAAACAACATTTGTACAAGATTTAGCCAAATGTGGTTGTGAATAGGGAGAACAGTAATTAATGGACTAGGAATAACTCAAGAATGGTAAATCGTATAATAATAGTCTACAGGTCAAATTAAAGCTTATGATAAAAGAGACACGAATGTGATTAGTTTATTCACTTAACAACTATACAATAGGAAATATACATATTACATTGGTCCATAAACAGTTCTCAAAATTACCATTCATATATCTCCACGGGATATAACACAATCATCGTAGGGTAGATATATACAATGATAAAGAAATTTCAGAGAATAATACCCCCAATAAAATCATGTCTATGGGGAACATTCATAAAAAACAGACATTTTTGAAATCTATTGTATCTTTTTTTATATGGTTAAATATACTTTAGTGAGAGATTCTGAAAAAAAGTTTACTTAGTAAACATAACGTGAAAACAATAGAACAAAACTAAAAGTTGAATTGTGATGATGAAATCATCACTCTCTGTTTCTTTGACTGAGCAAAAAAATCTGAAAAGGAAATTTGATTATTATTATTTTTATAGATCCATTCAATATTAACTAACTCAAAGCTATTTTCTGTGTATTAAAAATCAACATTTCCTGTGAGCTCATCTTCATAAGACCCATTATTGTTATTTTATGATATTTAAACGAAAGATATGATGATGTGTTAACTTTTCAAATATTTTGTCTGAATTTTTTATGCTTTCGAATGTTTATTAGTATTTATTGTTTAAAGCAAGAACTATCGGAATCATTGGTTCAAAATAGCGAGTTGAAAATCGTTTCAAGTTTCCATGATTATATACTGATTTTTGAATTCAGGAAGTGACATAGGTTGAACCGTCTATCTAACTCACTTGACGGATTTAGTCCTTCGACACGTAGACAATTTAGATGTCAATATGATAAATCGATAATGATGATTATCATATTACATATTTAAAAAAAAGTAGTATACTTTCTAAGCCTACTATCCATATGAAGAAATTTCCCAGTAATGGCAGAACTTCATTTAAATGAAAGCTTACTGATGGAATCACTTGGTTTTTAACATAATCTACTTCTTATTAACATACGGATTTAAAACCACATTTTCAGTGACGGTCTAGCTAAGGTTAGTTCGTTGTTTAAACTATGAAAATAATATACTTCTATCATAACACCATAAAATTAGTGCCCTACTGGATAGGTGCTGTTGTAAAGCCCGTCTGCCTGTATACATTTAATCTCGATGAATGTAAGGCATAAAATCAAGAAATTAATTCAGAACACCATTTCATATGAGTTTCAAAGTTTACTCCCATCAATCACGAGGTGATTCACCATGAATCACTAGCTTGAATCTTTCATTGGCTATTAAACTAAATGCCCTGACATTTCAATTCAATTCACTCTCTGTTACGATCAATGATTACTGTTTTACCTAAAGCTAATTTCAACTGATGAGTAGCTGCAAACTTAAGGAAAAGTTATTTATTTCGAGGATATGATTCGTTCATAACAATACTATTATTAACTTTAGGTGTTGATAGAAATAATAAAATGTAATTATGAAAATAATAATAATAATAGAAAGTTACATTCTGAAATGTTATGAATATAAACTGATCTAAATGATTTCTTTTAATCAAGAATAATAAATAAAACACTTTCATGTGTCTTATTCCATCAAAATATCATTGGTTTCACAAGCAGATAATCGTTAAAGATGGTAAGAAACAAACGGTTAAGTGCTCTGGCGTGAGACTAGTAGGTCCTGGGTTCAAATCTCGCGAGTGCGGGATCGTTAATGCGCACTGCTAAGGATTCATACAATAAGACGAAACGGCCTTCCACCGCTTTAGGTTTTCTATGGTGGTCTAGCTTCAATTGGCTCGTGATTTCAACTATTAAAATTATTGATCACTTTTATCAAATTTCGAAACTGCGTATGGTCACATCAGTAATTGCTTATTCTATATTAAGAAAAGTTGATAGATCACTATATATGAAATAAGATATTTGATCAAAGTTATACCTGTGATAATTATAAGAAATTACAAGGTTAACTTATCTGTTCACATAAGAAACATATCAGCATTAATCTGGAAAACATGATATAATCACAAAATACGGTTCATATGATCTGATTACACATTTATTCATCAAATCATTTGATAAGGAGATCAAATGAAAGTAAGTTGAATAAAACACCAAATCAACAAAAAGATAATCGAAATAAATATGAAAGAGACGGTATAACACTATTAGAATAGAAAATTATCACTTCACTCCTATATTGGATTAAAGATCTTTGGTTTTCAATGATCAATATTTCTTTATTTAACTTTTTTTATTTAATTAACCTTCTTTAGTTTTTAGATAAAATCTTATAACAATCGAATACATGATGTGATCATTCCAAATATACATATCAGATGTTTCAGATCAACTTCATTTTCAACTTCATTCATTAGTAAGACAAGGAACTAATTGTTTTTTTCAAAGAGTTCCTTGTATAATAAATGAACACAAATATAAAACAATCCAACTTTTGTCCGATAAAAAGTCACCCTTTAAAATGTATATTGTTGACATATTAACTAAAATTGTATTTATCCTTTTAAAGTTTTCTAATCACATGATATGTGACATTTAAATATAACCTATAGATTTATTTTATAAAAAAGAATAAGAAAAGAGTACTTTACAAGAAATCTATAAAAAATAAATATTTTTTTGCCCATTCTATATTGAATAATTCTTTGTGATTGACTGTTATGTCTTAAAAAAGAAACCTGTAAAAAACAAACCTCGAAAGTGGTTTTTTCTACTGCGTAAGTTGTAAATGGTAGTTTTAAACAAACGATGTGGGGAATATATATATATATATATATATATATATATATATATATATATTCAGATCTAGAAAGTGAACATGAATTTAGTGACTACTGGGAGAACATTATTTATTACAGTTAAATCGCTTCACTTTATCTCGAAACATCGCTTTACCATTTAAGTAAGTGATCACTTCTTTACCAAGGGTAATAAATATATGATAAATAATTGTATATTTTTATGTTATGGCAATTAATGAATATGCATGAATATTCATTAAAATATAATACTGTTTCTAACGTTCAGTTCCCTTTATTTTGAAAAGTTTGCCATTTCAATCTGATGTTTATATTTGTCTACTATAAATACTGTCAGTGGATACAAAAATCAGTGTTGATTATATTTAGTCAGTTAACTTTATTTTTTAAAGAACCATGGAACAATGAATAGATTTAAGTAAAACATCTGTAAATTATCTGACAGTTATAAACATTTGATTATGGTTGTTTGAACATTAGAAGAAAAATAAAAGTTTGTGCAATTCACTTGGTATTGTTTCCTTGAACCTTCCCATTGATGTTCAGGACTGCAATTAATCAATCTCTTATTGGAGTATGTGCATAATATGCGTATTTCGTCGATATTAACTTAATTCACAAGCATTATAAGCAAAAATGGATAGTTGCGTTTCATCAACTCTGAGATGATAGTACATCCAGCTGACGAGCCCCAAACGGGATAAAACGCGCGTCCTGGATTCCACTTCTAGTCACTATCCATCTTTCCTTATAATAGCTTATGTGGTTTTTAAACTCCTAATTAAAGTGTTGGAGATAAATATTTTTTGATAATTCTTTGTCTTAGATGTTTTAATATGACTATTTCACAAAACATTAACAGTTA